AAGCGGACCTGGGGCCGAACATAACCATTCCACAGGCTGGTACTCGCACGAGAAGAATGAGGGAAAAAACAAATCAGCGTCTCGCGTGGGTATGAAGCTAAGAAACCTTAGCTACGCGATCCGATGCTGTGGGGACTTCCTCTCCCCCAAACCGGCTCGCTCAAGCTTCGATCTAAGTGGGGGTGGTAGGCGCTGATCGTTATGCTGGAGGCGCGCGGAAGGTGCTGATTGGCTGGAGGAAGGGCTTCACGGACGCTTCGTATTGTATGGTGGATGCTACGCGTATTTGGCTGAAATTGAGGGTAATTATTCGTCGGACTAGTTCATGTCAATCTTTTCGGGGAGCTGAGGATTTTCGTCAAGAGGAAATTAGTGATTATCTTCAATTAGTATAGTATGTATATACTTGGATATGGTGAGTTGTCATGGGGTCTCTCGTAACAGGGATCGTTGCTTAGTGTATGGAAATTTTGGGAAAGGAAAGAAAAAAAGGGAAGGAGGGAAAAAAGGTATCAAAAAGAATGTAACGTGGTAATGAACTCGCACAGCCATCCGCCCAATGTGCTGAATCTCCACCATCAACAATCACCCGCTGTGGCGACCTCCTTTGTGAAAGTCTTCCGGTTCCGCTGGCTCGTGCGAAATCTCGATCGTCGTTTCCTGGTACACTCCATGGCCCAACTCGGCCAGCTCCATGTCCGTCTTGCGCACAATGTCCTCTGTAGATGAATCGCGGTCGTCTCTGACCGTGTCGTTGATGCTCTGCATCCCCATGCCCCGCCGGAATCGGGATCCCATCCGCACTTTCTTGCCATCCCGACCCGTGGTGATGTGTGTCTGGTATGCGTTTGATTCCGTGTAGTTGTACATGTGGTCCGTAGTACTGAGTTCGGTTTCGAGCAACAGGTGGCGGCGAGTGAGCGTGTACACAAGCACATCGACGAAACCCGACAACGCCATCAGCGAACCAGCAACGGCAAAGTATGCGCGACTGGGGACGATATGTCGTGCCGTTGACATGCGTCCGGCGGCCAACGGCAGGGAAAGCAAAAGATAGACAAGCGGGTAGATAACCATGTAGATGACAACCCGGTTCAATCTCTTCAGGTTCTCCTGGTGGTTTTGCCGGAGCGTGGCGGATTGTTTCATTCGGCGTCGCAGGTAGAAGAACATGAGACCGTAAAGAACGACCGTGCCGAATTCTGCCAGGAAAATCCATAGATAATGCACCCAAAGACGTTCTGTTTCATGGTCGGGACCGATCCAGCACTGCAAGACAGGGTGAATTAGTGACTTTTGTCCATCTGTATCTCATCTTTGCGGTCGCTTACCCAGCCAGCTTCCGAAATCACAAACGTCTCAGAGCCAAACATTCCAACAGGAATCAATCCCAAAATAATGATGAATAGCCACAGCCCAACAACACCACCCACAAAGATCGGGAACGGCAATTGTCGGCCTCGTAGCACAACGGCACAGGTGTGAAGGGCAATCGCCAGAACGAACAAACCACTGCCGGGGTCGCCCGTTTGAATCCACCATCCTTGAAGAACGCAGGGTGCACTGGGGTAGTAAACATGACCCTTTGATATCCAGTGGAGACATATCAAGAAAGCTGTTGCTTGTTGCAGATCGACCAAAAGGAGGTTGTAAATGAGAACGACATACTGATTCTCCGCCAAAGGTCGTTTGTAATATTTGCGCCAGAAAATGAAACGGTAGGTAAGGAATGACAAAAGGCCAAAGGCCGCAATGAATGAAAAGAGTGCAATCACTCCCATGGCAATGAACCCTGCTCGATCGCTACCCTCAACTACCTGGGTTGCTGAGCGACTAGCGAGGTGCGCGTGGCCAGCACCATCGCTGGCTAGCAACCGTGACAATCGTAATAGAGCGAGCATTGTTCATCACCCTGAAGTGTAGTTTCGAGGGGAAGAATGTCCAAGGGTCCAAGCGAGGCTCGGAAACAATTGACAGGCGGCGTGCATCTTATATCCTACCATATAGAAGTAAAGGTTGGAGCATGTCTTATGGACCAGAAAATGAGTTCCTATGGATCAGAAAGTCTGGGCAAGGTCCCGGCCCCATAAATGCTTTTGCAGTATTTTTTTCTTTTACCCGTTCTTGTCTTTCAAGTTTGCTGTCCCGCAAAGAGAAAGAAAAAATAAGATTTGGTTAAGGGGCCACAGATCGCTAGATAGTCTTCGGGAGGGGTGCGAATGAGCAAGGATGGCCAGTTTTAGTGAGTAGTAGCGTGTGCAGGAAAGGGACCGAAGCTCGCATAGTGAGTGTTTTAGTGGGATATAGTCCGCACGGTCTCTACACCCGACCCACCTCTGGGTCATGGTATTCTCCGCCGTGCATCCAACAGTGACTCAAGAAAGTGGTCGAACGTTCCCACCTTAGTGTGCAATTGCCGATCTCCCAATGGTCTGGGAAGGAAAGGGGTGATTGTGCTAAGATCGTTGACCTGAGAGCCTCCATGCCCTGTGGATCAACCATCGGATTCTGCTCCCCGGTATTTACGGGGTAGACATTGTGTGCAATGTGGCGACACACAATTGAGGATTATTGGAGGTAGGTGGTGCAAATGTATACAACAGAAGTGTCCTGAGTGAACTATTTCGGCCCGGTATAGTGCATCCGCCACTTCGGGAGTGACAGACTCCCCTAACGTTGCCTGCAGTCGAGCTAGACTAAGGGGCGGAAGTATTCTTTTGCAGAGTCGCCTGCAGTAAACGGTGATGATCTGCAAGCGTCTTATTAAGCAGTGTTGAGGGAGCCCCTGGTGCCTCCTGGGCCATCTTGGTGTCGCGCAGACCAGGGGAGTGGTAGATGATCTCCGGACTACGATCTTAATCAGACGGAAAGAACCTTCCGACGTGGAGGCCTTGACCGAGCACTATAACAAAAAATTGAACGCAGTTCTGATTGGATATTCCAGAACCAAAGAATATCGGATCAACAGTGCGTCGAATCGAGAGCTGAGGTGGCACACGGTAGACTTAGCGTGACGGCGCGTCGAAAGAAAGTTATCGAGATCCAGAAAGCTGGGACCAATAAACCCAGAGGGTAAGACCTGGGAACTATGTGCCTTCCTTTACAGGAAGGGATGTCGTGCTTTGTGGAGTTTCCGATTGCAGATAGACCATAGAGAAATAGTGAAGTATGCAACTGTGGAAGATGAGGAAGCTGGAATGGAAGTTGAAGCACGGCGGAAGAGAAGTCGGGCATCGACTCCTTTTGGAAGTCACCTGAGCATCAATGAGCCTCATCACCATTCAGCTTCTGATTATTACTTCCAGCATCGCTCGCACATTATTGCTGGTAATAGCAACAATCACAAGCTTACAAATGTTTTTCACCTCCACCTCCCGCTCTTCGGTACCGATTGTTCAGCTTGGCTCCATAGTTGCAATATTGCCCTCCAGTTATTCGCACCCACCTAGAAGTTTATCAGGCAGATGATTTTCGGAGCATGGACACAGCTTGAGCTGTTCCTGGCTAAATCAAAATCTCCACGATGCTGATTGAAGAACGGCCGAGAAAAAGAAATAATCTGCAGCTGTACCCCATTGCTGCGTGAAGATTTTCAGGAGAGAACGAGCATTGGGTAAGAGTGGCCGAAAGCTTATTCTTGTCGATTCCCGTTGCTAAGATGCCGATCCCATAGATTCGATATTACTTAGTGATTCGAACCAAGGACAGCGGCGGGGTGAAGCTGAAAGCGTACGCTAATCTGATGAGCTCATCCAAGGCCTTTCGACGGTTCTGGAATGGCCGTGCTGCAAAGGCTGAGGGAAGGTCGTGTCCGGCCAACTCCTAGCACAAATTCAGAACCATGGTTCGTGCGCAATGGTACCTCTCACCATGGTACCATCTATCAACTACTATGCTTGAATTGACCTTCCGTCTATGGCATCGCAGGTATTCGGGTCTGGCATCTGAACGCAAACAGGGAGAGACTGTATGCTGTAGTCGTCAAGGATCTACATCAGTCACTTAGGACCTGCCGTTGAATTAATACGACATGGGTAAGTTGGCGGCTTTCATCATACGGCCATGCGGATGAGTCGCCCAATTGCTGTCTCGGCTCATGGAAGCATCGAAAAGAACTTCAACATTCGTGGTTGAGACCTCATCGTATCGGCAAGAATTTTGTTAAATTTTAGCCGAGAGCGGCCTCATAAGGTCGTAGATCCAGATTTAAACCAAATGTTTGGACCTTAGCCTCGCCTAAGCAACGGAACGTGTGTCCATTCTTCCATTCCGAGAAAGCATTAGCCAACCTGTGTATACATACCCGAAAGCTCACAGGCCTGTGTTCCGATTTTCGGATCCGGAAGGATTGATCGACAAGAAGCTACTCTTGACTCCAGGACTAGACAACCCTTCTGGGAGCCTCTCTGTCTTGGCATACGAGTGCCCCATTTAAGGCGCGTGATTCGTGAACCTTCTATCTCATTAGTAGTTGGAGAAGGTCTGATTTTAGGGCACCGTAGCCAGTTCGGGTGCTGCAGGGTTCCAAACAACGCTCGCATATGCTGGAAGCCACATTTCACATATTTCGAACGCACCGGATGCTGGTTTTCGCTAAAGCCCGATAGGGAACTTCGGTTGGTGGCCGGTAAACTGCGGGCTTCAATATGCGTCGCTTGGCGGGCTGTTGCATGATCCGGACGTGTCCGAGGCATAGTCGTGCCACTTGGGTACTATGAATAGGACCTTTGTCTTTAAACCGACCATCTGCACAGGACAAGTCACCCGTCTCATCCCAGCCGGAGGTCCCGGACAGATGACAAGGCTCTAAGGCTGTATGTCTCATTCAGGGTCTAGCCGTGCCATCTCTTATTGGCTCGGACGCTTCACGCCGCGATCACTGCGCCCCCGCATGTCTCTCTCCGCTCGCTATCGATGCAGTGTTGTCCGCTATTGATGGGAGGAATGTCTCACTTCGGGCTTGTGCTTCGCAGATCTATACCCCTCAATGACCTAGTATAGCAAACAGTTGTGATGTCAGTGACTGTGCTTCTATTCAGGGCATCAGGCCTCCCATGCCCATGCCACAGTATGGAGCCTTGGCCGCCTTGGGTAGGCAAGGCCTCCCGGGAATACTCATTGCCATTTCACCGCTACTGCAGCTTCAAATGAAGAGAAAGAGGGGAAAGAAAAGATATAAGTAGCTTGACAAACCCCAGAGATTCTCCTCTTCAGTTCAGATCAAGCATCTATTCTACACTCAAGAACAAACCACCACTACCATACACAATCTCATCCAAGTATCATATCATCATTCATCTACCACAATGAAGACCTTCACCACCATCACCTCTGTCCTCGCTCTCTGCTCCTCGGCCCTGGCCGCACCAGTGGAAGCTGCTGAAGCGGCTGGCACCGCAGTCTCTGTCTCCTACGACACTGCCTACGATGTCTCTGGAACTTCATTGACCACCGTCTCCTGCTCGGACGGTACCAATGGCATGATCGGCAAGGGCTACACTACCTTCGGCTCTCTTCCGGGCTTCCCCAGAATCGGAGGCGCTCCTACCATTCCAGGCTGGAACTCTCCCAACTGCGGCAAATGCTACGCCTTGACGTACAACGGCCAGACAGTCAACATTTTGGCCATTGATGCCGCACCGGGTGGCTTCAACATCGGTCTGGATGCCATGAACCAACTCACTGGAAACCAGGCCCAAAACCTAGGTCGTGTTGACGCTACCTACACTGAGGTGGATGTCAGTCAGTGCAAATAAGCGCCAAAAACATTCAGCATTGTGCTTGGGAGATGAGTCCGTGTGTTGCGGGAATAGGCTACGATGGGATATGGTTTCGGGTTTATGATTGATACGCTTTTTTGGGATACTTTCCTTTATTTTACCTACTGTTAATAACATAATACGGAGCGTCAGCATACATACATACATGTCAACATAGTGATCGATGAGCATAAGTACAGAACTTTCTGCATATGAATTGAGAGATTCTAAGGTCATATCTACTGTACATCATTGTCTATATATACATACGTTCATGCTACGACATCACCCCAATACCTCAAGCATCTCCTCCACCCTCCCAAACTTATCCCGAATTTTACCCTTCTCCTGTCCACGCTCCCGCTCCGCACGATCAATGCGTTCCCAGTCCGCCCACGACGTAGCCCTCAAACCCCGCTTCTCAGCTTCAGGACGGACACCCTCCCAACCAAGTCCAGAGCTATAACCCGGTGAATTCAACAACGACGCTTTACCATTCTGACCAGCCACATCAGCAGCAATAGCATCAGCCGTACTAAACGCATCCATCATCGTCGTAGCAATGACGCCTGTAGGGCCACGCTTGACCCAGCCAGCGCAATAAAGACCCGGGAGATGCGAGATCAATGATCCGTCGGGGAGCTGTTCCTTGTCGCCGGTGTTGGCTGGAGTGGTAATTCGCCCGAAGCCGTCGTTGGGAATCACCCCGCGGCGTTCGTCGAACTGGATACCTAGGTCTTCTAATCCGGGTAGTGGGAGGGACTTATAGCCGACACTGCGGAAGAAGGTGTTGGCGGGGATGTTGACCTCTGCGCGCTTGCCGCTGGATAGGTACTTGGGTGTGACTTTGGCGCTGGGGAGGAAGGGATCGGAGGGGTCGAGCTCGTTGCGGGCGAATCTTACGTGGGAGAGGCGGTAGGGGTGGACGGGGGACCAATGTAGACATTCGGGAGAGAGGAGGAAGTCAAGGGACCAGGATTTGGCGGAGGTGGTTGGATCGTTGGTTGATCCTTTCGCGAGGAGTTGGATGATTCGTTTCTGGGCTCTTGGGAGAGCGGACATGACGTCTTCCGGGGGGAAGAGGTTCTTCGGGACTGGGTCGAATGCTACGCCTGGTAGTTGGAGCAGTTCGCGGAGTTCTTTAATGGTGAATGCAGCCTGAAGCCGGAAATATGTAAGCTTGTGATAAGTGTAGTACTCGGGTCGATAACGCGTACCTGCATCGGTCCTCTGCGGCCAACCACCCGGACACGCTTGACTTTACTCTTTGACAGCTCCTCAATAGCATATTCGGCTATATCCGTCTTCCGCAGGGTATTCACATCCGACAACAAGATTCTGGCAACATCCAGGGCCACGTTTCCTTGTCCGATGATCACGGCGTCTTCACCGGCAGTCAGGTCCGGGGCAAGATCACGGTGTTCCGGGAGGCCATTGTACCATCCGACAAACTCCCGAGCCGAGTAGACGTTGCGGATTGCCTTTTCGCCAGGTATTCCCAGTTCCTTGTCCTTCGGGGCACCGTATGCGAACAGGATGGCATCGTAGTGTGGCTTGAGAGAGCTGAGGGGGAGGGTTTCGCCTAATTCAACATTGCCGATGAAGTTGAAGCGCGGAGATGCTGCGACTTCAGTGAATTTCTCTTCGCAGTTCTAGAGGCCCGGATAGTGTGAGCTTGATCGTCCATGTCTTCTGACTCATAGCATAGCGGTCTTACCTTGACTTCTGGGTGATCAGGGGCAACACCGTATCGCGCAAGACCAAATGGCACTGGAAGCTTCTCGTACATGTCTACCGAGGCATTGTCTACCTTGGAGAGTAGTCGATAAGCCGCATAGAAGCCTGCCGGGCCTGACCCTACCACGGCCACGCGGAAAGGCCGCTCATTCTGAACGACCTGGCTGTACTGACGCGATTGAGCTGTCAATCGTGAGAAGGTCTGGCGCGGAGAATGGCGCACAGGCACGCGGGTAATCCGCGCCGTGCAATGGCCACAGATATATGGAGCACGCTGGATATTCATAGTGTAGCAAGACGAAGTGTGAGGAAAGAAGCAAAGCCGTCAGACCGGAGGAGAGACATTAACTCCGAGGCGCGATGACATAAGAGGGTCCAACACGTGACTCTTATCAAGGCTGGTTGCCGCGCCGACAATCGCGTGTTGACGATCCTCCCGATCAACCCGTGGATGGAAAGCCAGTAGTTTCCGGCAGATGCACGATGAATGAGTGCATGTGCTGCTGCTGCTTTCTTGCTGTCGCTCCTGCTTCGTCTCCATCTTCTGTCACTCCACCCGTCCCACGGTTCGTACCTCTCTTTCCGTGGTATCTGTCACCACAGAACCGTCCGTCTATCTACATCTAGATAGCTGTCTAATCCGACATTCTTTCTTTAAGCTTAACAACTCGTCTGTGCACATTCCTTTCCCCCGCTCGTCGCGTGGGTCAAGCCTTCGATATTAGATTGGGGCTTTCGCCATAGCGATCATGGGCGACAATCATGACTCTTCATTCCTTTATGGTTACGCTTCGTCCAACCGGTTTTACGGTTCGCCCGAACCTCCCTTCAACCCGAAGGCTGTGACACAAGCGAGCTGGACTCGACCAGAGCCAAAACCTGAGTTAAAGGGACCATTGGTTGATCATGCCAATACCCTTCCTGATGTGGTATGTGCTTTGCGGCTCATTAAAGGACATCAATTAGACTACAATCGCGTACTAATGATCTATGCAAGCAATGCAACACCCCCAGTGCCAAACCGCGATGGAAGCCAATGAGCCCAAAAACAAAGGGTCGTGTGGTCTATGGTCGCAAGGTGCAGCTTGGACTGCGCATACTTGCTCTTGCCGGAGCTATCGGATCCCTGTTCTGTTCGATCGTTATCAAGAATGCCGCAATAACCGTGATTTGGATTGTCAGAGTCGGGGTGAGTGATGCGGCCAGGTTATGTGACGTTGAGCTAGAATCTAACTCCCTTCAAGCCAGCTGTCGCAATTCTGCACACTCTCTACGGCATATATACTTTGAGTCGCTCTTCGATCACAAGGCCTCCAGGGTCGCAGGCTAGCTACATGTTCTTTGCCGCAACATTCGATCTAGGCCTGATCCCCTTCTACGTTTTCGCAGCCTACCTAGGTTACGGGCAATATACCAACAACGCATACGACTGGACTACAATGCTAGGTTCTAATGTTGAGACGACAACCAAGATCGCAGAGACTACGTTCTTGCTGGGTATAATCAACGGTGCACTTCATGCGATATCCTTTGGAATCTCCATTTTCTTGGGTACCATCTTCCGGAAGATCACCCGGCTACCCCCAGATATGAACCCGCTAGAAGACAACTTGACTGCACGTCCATTCTCACGGACCAAGTCCGAGATAATTGAAAAGCGTGCCAGCAAATCTACCTTGGGCTCAGACAATATTTTTAGTGAGGATCCGCTGATCGGTGTTCCACGAAGTGTGCCTTTCATGGAGACTCGCAGTAATCCATCCTTCAACAACGACTATAGTCGATTCCCCCCTACTTTCACAGACAGAACGCCACCGCAGCCTACTCACTCTTTCCATCGCCCATCACGCATCGACACCATCCCACATCTACCTTTCCATCAACCAAATGATATAGATGATGCTACAACTATCGCGTCGCCTATCGAGAACCCAGATATCTTTACCAGGGCAACTACATCAATTCCGCGTGGCGCGCCGGTTCGCGAGCCATCTCCCGATCTTCCCAACAGATCGCAATGTGTGAGCCCTGCCTCAGAGAATTGGATTGTCTATCCGTCTCGGTCTACAACTCCCGTGGAGGAGACTAAAGACGAGCACCCGGCTCCTCGCGACCCGTCCTCTGTATACAGCCGTGCCGAAACCCCAGCCTCCTCAAAGGGCGGTGTTATGGATTGGTTCAGTCCACAGCGATATGGTCTGAATATAGGCGAAGCTATCAGCGAGAATAAGCGCGGGGAGTACGAGTCGGTTGCGGCGAATGAATACTATGGAAACGATGATGACGTTCATGACATTCTTTACCGAAGCGGATTTTACGATAACGCAGAGCAAGACCTTGGCGACCACCGGATTGACATCTTCCAAGACCACGAAGAGCTCGACGAAGACACGCGAAACTCCCTGAAGGTCAATCCATTGGCACTGAACCCGCCCTCTCCCCTGCCGAGGCCGGACGAGGTCCAGAATCGCACACCAAGCAATGGGCGCATGGCCCTTACTGACATACCCAATCTTTCTCCCAAGCCTCCTGCCGACGAGCCGCTTCTTGATAGTCTGCAGAAGAAAGGAAGTTTCTATGGAGAGCTCCCGGACCAATTCGGACTTAATGCCCCACGAAAAGTCAGCCGCGACCAGTCGAAGCTTACTCCAAAGAAGGACAAGCTCAGCATCAAGAAAAGCCAGAAGTTCAACGCCTACGGCGCACTTAAGCAGCATGACGATGGTGACCTCAACGGCCTTGGCATTCCCTCTGCAGACCCGATGACTATCGACGGTGATCGCAAAGGTCGCGTCGTTAGTAACTCAGGAGCTGATGCTACCCACGCCAACTCTGCACTGTCGTATGGAAACTACATCGCCGGATTGGGAGTGGGAAGACGGCGGGACGTCAGCGGCAAGATAGCGGAAGAGGGCCGTGTCGAGATTACCAAACCGAAAAATGAGAACACAACCCCTATCCGAGCAGCTGGATGGGCTCGCTTTGCGGGTCTATAGCACTGATATGCTCGGAGTAGAACACGCAGAAAAAGAAAAAGAAAAAAAAGCATCTACAACTGTTCGAAGACGGGATACGTCTTCTTTTCATTGAATTTATGAGGCATATGGATATGGTTTGCACATGTTGGACATGAGAATCTTTTGACGATAACTGATGTGATTTTTATGTTTGTTTTATTGGTGATACTCCCCACTGTTTTTACTGTAGACAATCACGTAGTAGCTTAGCATACCATTCAAACTGAATATTGCAATGTTTCATATTCCTAGTATCTTATGATTTTTTTCCGAACTCGGAGACTATATACAGCTATAATATACAAATATACAATGAACAATCATCATACCAAATCACGAAGGCACCCCTTCATATTCCCATCCCTTGATCACCCTCTTATTCCTCCT